TCTATATTCCTCTTCAGACTCTGTCATTCTCACCACTTGCCTTCCCACTTAATTTTGTGTCATCCACAAACTTGACACAAATATTCGCTTTCCTCATCCAAGTCATTAATGTATATTTAAATATTGTAAATATATTTTAAGACCCTGGAGATCTCCACTATAAACCATCTTGCTCAGCATGAAAGACATATCTAGTAACCATTCCTTTGTTTCATGTCACTCAACCAATCATGTTGCTGCTGCCCTTTGTATTCCAGAGATTTCAAGTTGGCTGTACAAGTCTGATGGACAACACTTTGTCCAATACCTTCTGCAAATCATGTTAAAAAACCAAGTTTAATGGCGTGGAGATTGGAAGGTCAGACTTTCAGGAGCTGGGGAGAAAGGTGAAAGGGAGGGACCTTGAAGGTAGTAACTTCGGGATTATTTATAGTGCCATACACTGGCACAATAACAGGCCAATCAAAAGGATCGAAATCTGGCTTGAGGCCTGGTGCAGGAGGTAGGCTTTCAAATTCTTGGAGCATTCTCGGTCCGTTTGGTTAGAATTGAGAAGCAAAAAGCTAAACTCATGTTACTGAGGAAGATCGGCACCAACTGCTTTCTTGCTATATCTTGATACTTTGGACCTTGAGATATGGATTAATGTTGAAAAGCTTGCAAATGATGCTAAACTTAGAGGAGTAGCAAACAATGACAATAATACAAACTGCCTGCAACAGAACATAAACACTGAAGTGGCAGGCTGGGCTAAATGGAATTTAATGCAGAGAAAGGAGAGGAGATATATTTAGACAGAAGGGCTGGGGTGAGGCAATATTAACTTAATGACACAGTTCTAAAGAGAGTGCAGTGTCAGGGAGACCTAGGAGTGCAGGTACATCAAAGTTTGAAGGTGCCAGGACATATTGAAAATGTTGTTACTGAAGCAATTAGAATCTTGGATTTCATAAACACATTTCAATACAAAGGCAGGGATGTTGTGCTGAAGTGATACCAATCTGTGGTTAGGCCACAACTAGAGCACTGTGCCCATTTCTAATTTGCACATTAGGAAAGATATGAAGGTCTTTGAGAGGTTGCAGATGAATCCGACCAAAATAGTCTGAGGAATGGAAGGCTTCAGTAAAAAAGTGAGATTGGAAAGCATGAGCTTGTTCTCCTTGAAGCAGCAAGAGATCGAGATGAGATTTGATCAAGGTGTGCAAGATTATGACTGGCTTAGATGAGGTTTACAAGGAAAAAAACTGTTCTTATGCACTGACTGTACAAGGATTAGGGGGCACAGACTGGAGACTTCGGGAAGAGTCGCAGGAGGCATGTTTTTAAACACAGTGAGTGGTAATGACCTGGAACTCGCTGCCCAATGAGGCTGATGGATGTGCAATTTATCAATGATTTCAGAAGGAAATTGGATGGGCATTGGAAACATAGAAACATAGAAAATCAGTGCAGGAGCAGGCCATTTGGCCCTTCAAGCCTGCACCACCATTCAATAAAATCTTGGCTGTTCATGCAATCTCAGTATCTTCCTCTCACTTTCTCCCCATACCCCTTCATCCCTTTAGCCGCAAGGGCCACATCCAGCTCCCTCTTGAATATATCTAATGAACTGGCCTCAACATCTTCCTATGGGAGCAAATTCCGCAGGTTCACAACTCTCTGGGTGAAGAAAGTTTTCCTCATCTCAGTCTTGACTGGCTTACGCCTTATTCTTAGACTGTGACCCCTAGTTCTGGACTTCCCCAACATCAGGAACATTCTTCTCCCATACAGCCTGTCCAGTTCCATTAGGGTTTTATATGTTTCTAAGAAAGTGCCCCCACTCCCAGTTCTTCTAAAATCCAGCAAATACAAACCCAATCGATCCAGTCTTTCTCCATATGTCAGTCCTGCCATCTTGGGAAGCAGTCTGGTGAGCCTTCGCTGGACTCTGTCAATAGCAACAACGTCCTTCCTCCGACTAGGAGACCAAAACTGCACACAGTACTCAAGGTGTGGCCTCACTGAGGCCCTGTATAACTGCAGCAAGACATCCTTACTCTAATACTCAAATCCTTTTGCTGTGAAGGAGAGCATGCCATTAGCTTTCCTCACTGCCTGCTGCACCTGCATGCCAACCTTCAGTGACTGTCCCACCATGACACCCAGATCTCAGTGCACCTCACCTTTTCCTAAACTACCACCATGCAGCTAATAATCTGCCTTCCTGTTTTTGTGACCAAAGTGGATAACCTCACATTTTTCCTCATTATATTGCATTGCCAAGTACTTGCCCACTAAACCAGCCTGTCCAAGTCACCCTGCAGCCTCTTTGCATCCTCCTCACAGCACACACTGCCAGCCTGCTTAGAGCCATCTGCAAATTTGGAAATATTGCATCGAATTCCCTCGTCCCAGTTGTTAATGTATATCGTGAACAGCTGGAGTCCCAGCACTGAACCCTGTGGTACCCCACTCGTCACTGCCTGCCACTTTGAAAATGACCCATTTATTCCAACTCTCTGCTTCCTGTCTGCCAACCAGTTCTCTATCCATGTCAATATGTTACCTCTGATACCATGAGCTTTAATTTTCCTTTCTAATCACTTGTGTGGATCCTTGTCAAAAGCCTTTTGGAAGTCTAGATGCACAATATCTACTGATTCACTATTGTCTACCCAACTTGTCACACCCTCAAAAAATTCCAGAAGATTTGTCAAGCATGATTTCCCTTTAGTGAGTCCAAGCTGACTAGGACCGAATCTGTCACCACTTTCCAAATACACAGTTATTTCACCTTAATGGTTGACTCCAGCATTTTCCCCACCACCGATGTCAGGCTAATCGGCCTATAATTTCCCATTTTCTCTCCATCCTTTTTTAAAGAGTACAGTTACATTAGCTACCCTCCAATCCATTGGAACTCTTCCAGAGTCTGTAGAATGCTGGAAAATGATCACCAATGCATCTGCTATTTCTAGGGCCACTTCGTTACGCTTTCTGAGATGCAGAGATCACACTCTGGGGACATATTGGGTTCTAATCCCATCAATTTCCCCAGTACCATTTCTGGACTAATAAGGATTTCCTTCATTTCCTCCTTCATGCTTGATCCACTGGCCTCTAGCATTTCCTGAAGGTTATTTGGGTCCTCTTTATTGAAGACAGATCCAAAGTATGTGTTCAACTGGTCTGCCATCTCCTTGTCCATTACGAATTCACCTGATTCTAACTGCAGGGGACCTACATTTGTCTTTACCAGTCTTCTTCTTTTCACATATCTATAGAAGCTTTTGCAATCAGTTTTTATGTTTTCCGCAAGCTTACCTTCATTTTTTTTTCACCTTCCGAATTAAACCCTATGTCTCCCTCTGCTGAATTTTAAATTTCTCCCAGTCGTCAGGTTTGCTGCTTTTTCGGCCAATTTATATGCCTTCTCTTTGGCTTTAACACTACCCCTGATTTCCCTCGTTAGCCATGGGTGAGCCACCATTCTGTTTTACTCTTATGCCAGACAGGCCGGTACAATTGTTGAAGTTCATTCATGTGTTCTTTAAATGTCTGCCTTTGCCCATCCACCATCAACCCTTTCAGTATCCTTAGCCAGCTTATGCTAGCCAATGCATTCCTCATACCATCACAGTTAGCTTTATTTAAATTCAGGACCCTAGTCTCAGATTTAATTGTGTCACTCTCCATCTTAATGAAGAATTCTACCATATTATGGTCACTCTTCCCCAAAGGATCTCGCACCACAATGTTGCTAATTAATCCTGTCTCATTATACAATACCCAGTCTAGGATGGCCTGCTGTCGAGTTAGTTCTTCAACATATTGGTCAAGGAAACCATCCCTCATATATTCCAGGAAATCCTCCTCCATGGCATTGCTACCAGTTTGGTTAGTCCAATCAATATGTAGATCGATGTCACCCATAATAACTGGTGAACTTCTCCTGCATGCATTTGTAATTTCCTGTTTGATGCCATCTCCAATCTCAACTGCTGTTTGGTGGTCTGGACACGACTCCCATTCACATTTCTTTCCCTTTGGTGTTCTGCAGCATCACCCATACAGATTCTACATCATCCAGGCTAATGGTCTTTCTTACTATTGTGTTAATCTCCTCCTTAACCAGCAATGCTACCCCACTTCCCTTTTCTTTCTGTCTGTCTTTCCTGAAAATTGAATACCCCGGATGTTGAGTTCCCATCCTTGGTCACCCTGGAGCCAGGTCTCTGTGATTCCAGTTACATCATATCCATTCATAACTGTCTGCACAGTTAATTCATCCACCTTGTTACAAATGCTCCTCACATTATGACATAGAGCCTTTAAGCTCTTTCTTTCTTTGACATTTATTGCCCGTTTAGAATCACGGTGTAATTTGTCCCTTTTTGATTTTTGTCTTTGGTTTTTCTGCCTTCCGTTTTCACTTTTCCTCTTACTGCCTTTTGTTTCTGTCCCCACGTACTTCCCTCTGACTTCCTGCATTGGTTTCCAAACCCTCCCATATTAGTTTAAACTCTAACAGCACCACAAGCACCCCTCCGGGCCCCCACGACGTTGTCTCCAGTCCTGCCCAGGTGCAAACCATCTGGTTTCTACTGGTCCCACCTCCCCCAGAACCAGTTCCAATGTCACAGGCATTTGAATCCCTCCCTCTTGCACCATCTTTCAACCCACATATTCATCTTAGCTATCCCGCCATTCCTACTGTGACTAACACTTGGCACTGGTAGCAATCCTGAGATTACTATTTTTGAGGCCCTCCTTTTTAGTTTAATTCCTAACTCCTTAAATTCAACCTGTAGGACCTCAACCTTTGTTTTTACCTACACTGTTGGTGCCTATGTGCACCACAAAAACTGGCTGTTTACCCTCCCCCCTCCTCAATGAAGGGAATGAACCCGTGGGGTCACAGGGACAGAGTGAGGAAGTGGGACGGACTGGATTACTCTAGGGAGCTGGCACTGACTAGATGGCTGAATGGCCTTGTCCTGTACTGTGAGTGACTTTGATTCGTGTGGAACCCTGAAAATTTCTCCCCAAATGGTTGTGGGTACTGGTGATCAATTAAACTGCTCTGGATGAAGACTGATCGATTTACTCTTCAGTAAAGGAACAAAAGGATGTGAATCAATAACAGATAGTGAAGTGACATGCAGATCAGCCACAGAGAATGGTGAAGCAGGGATGAGGGGCTGAAAGGTCTCCTCCTGCTCCCATTGCTCTGGATTGGAAGTTCTGTGTCATGTGAGTTAATTTGGAAATACAATGGATGAACTGCATTTATATAGCACTTTTCACAACTCAGGACATTTACAGCCACTGATGCAGTTTTTGAAGTGTAGTCACTGCTCTAATGTCGGAACGACGAAAGCAAATTTAAACACAGGAAGATGCCATAAACAGCAGTAACCGAATCATCTGATGTTAGTGTCTCTTCAAGGATACATGTTGATGGGAACAATGGGAAGATGGTGCCTTCGAATAATTCACTGGGATCTTTACATGCACTCGGGACATACACACCCCTTGGGCTTTAACCAAAAGAGTGCACCCTCTGACAGTGAGGCCCCCACTTTGTGCTAGGACTGGATTGGATCCAGTGCTCAGTCTCTGGGATTGGACTTGACTCCATAAAGCTCTGGTCGAGGTGAGAGAGCGTTATCTTCCTGAAAGTCACAACCAACAGGCAGAGAGGGCTCAGTGACCCTGCAGCATCCGGAAAGCACCAGACAAATTCTCACCTTCCCAGCTCCGAATATTTTCTCTGCAGCATAAAGAGGCTTCCCACATCTGGAACATTTATCCACACCCTCGCATTCCTGGGAAAACCTGGAAGGATTGGCATTGGTAGTTGGCTGGTGAGGGTCAGGGCTGTGGAGTTAAATGACCAGAGTCAACATGGAGTACACAGCCCCCTATCAACATAGACATCCTCCATTCAGCCCCATTCCCAATAGACCCCTCCTGACTTTGGTCACTAATTGTACCAGCTATTTTGACTGATATAATTGGGCCATTCAACCCATTGCAACCGATGCTGGGGTTTATGCTTCACACATGACTCCTCCCCCTCCTTATCAGCATTTCCATTTTTTTTCCCCCCCTGAAATATACAGACACAATTCCCCTTGAGACCCAGCTCCCCCCAACCGCAGGTCCAGTGTGAGAGCTGGTTCCACATTCTCACTGTTCTCTGCCTGTTCCTGAGTTCCCTGATTAAAGTCAATAATGATGAGCACGAGTTCTGGTTTCACTCTCAGGCAGAAATCTCTCTTCCATCCTATCGAATCACTTCCTAATTTTAAATGCCTCTCCCAGCTGCAACTGACAGATTTATTTTCTAGAGAGCACACGTTTACTTTGTTCAGTCTTTACTGATGGTTCAGATTTCACTGTCCAGTGACTAAGGTCTGAGAGCAGTACAGGAGCAGAAACAAAGACATTTCCTCAGGTTCCTTGGAAAAACAGGCAGTACCTGATCTGACAGAACAGCTGGGAATTACCTGCTGATTCTCCCTAATTCCCAGAATAACTTCAGCAGGAAAACAACCAAATCCAGAGAGATGGGAATGCTGGTCCCTGCCAAAGATCAGGAGATGGGTTAGAAGGAGTCAGAAAAATCTGATGAAAGTTTGAAAACTTACATTTCATCACTGCATACTTTACACCTGAAGGTGTATTAACTTTAGACCCTATTGCACAAAACAGTGGAAAACTTGCACATAGCAAGATCCAATAAACAACAGTGTGCTAACATCAGATAATTAGTGTTTATTGAAACAATAAGAAGGGAAGAGGAGGAGGATTTCACTGGACTATTAATCCAGAGACCCAGATAATGTTCTGGGAACCAGGGTTCGAATCCAGCCATGGCAGATAGTGGATTTGAATTCAGCAAAAAAAAAATTCTGGAATTAGTGATGACCATAAAACCATTGCCAATTGTTGGAAAAACCCATCTGGTTCACTAATGTCCTTCAGGGAAGGAAATCTGTCACTTTCACCTGGTCTGCATTACATGTGACTCCAGACCCACAGCAATGTGGGTGACTCTCAGCTGCCCTCTCAAATGGCCTAGCGAGCCATTCAGTTGCAGCAATTGCTACAAAAACTTGAAGAAAAGAAACCAGATGGATCACCCGGCATCGACCTAGGCACTGGAAAAGACAACGGCAGAAACAGCCCTGTCGACCCTGCAAAGTCCTCCTCACTAACATCTGGGGGTTAGTGCCAACATTGGGAAAGCTGTCTCACAGACTAGTCAAGCAACAGCCAGATACAGTCATACTCAGAGAATCATACCTTACAGGCTGTTTGAGTTTGCGTTTCCAGTAAAATTGACATTACATCATTGTGACAGACTCTTCCATCTGTTCTTACCTTCATGTTCCCCCAGTGCGCTAAACCCCAGCCACCCCACACCACACCACCCCTTCAGTCAGGGGTTGGGCCATGGAGTGAAGAAGTGGGTGGGGCAGCAAGGGTGTTCCTCTCAAACAATTAGTTTCTCATTCATTCCAGGAGTAGCCTTTTAATGGATGGCCAGCCACTCAGTGCCGCCAGTTTAATAAAACCGTACACTGATGAATCAATACTGCTATGGTGTCAGTCTCTGACCGAGGAGCTGTGTTCCTAAGTATTTTCAGTCACTGACACCAAGCGATGATGTTGGCAATAAACACAAACATCTTCTGGAAATGAAAAACACATCTTTGAGGTTTTGCAGACAGAGAGAACAGAGATCAGGAGGACCCCACCTCCAAAAGACCAGATTGATGTCAAAAATATCCCCTTAAATCTGACGCTGGGTCGTGCTGTGGGCGCTTTGCAGAAACAGCCCATGATTTATAAAGGTGTCTGGTACACAGTCCTATCCTAAAAAGGGGAATGGTTGAGAAAGGATAGACTTGTCACTATCAGCTGTAACAGTAGTAGCCTACATTGGACCCTTTCCAAAGAAAGAGCAAATTCTTTTCACTAATTATGACCTCAAACTGTCTTTAAGATTTCAATCAAATTAAAAATTTCCCCAAAGTCAAAAAACAGACAACAAAAGGCAATTATTTCAACAAACAGCTGCTGTAAGGTTCCTGTATTTTAGTTTTAATGAAACTAGCTGATGTTATATATTTGTGAATTATTTAAAAACCCTGAAGGATTGGTTGGCAGAAGATTGCCTGAGATTGCATCTGACAAATCAAGTCTTTTATTAATCCATCTGGAAAAGCAATTCTTTTAAAGGAAACAAAGACAGACTTTCATCACCTCAGGATGTCTGGAATTGGGTAACTCTTTGAAATATACTCACTGCTGTTATGTAGAAAATGTGGCAGTAAATTTGTAAACAGCATGATCCAACAGACAGCAATATGACAATGACCATTTGACAGATATTAGTCCACATCCCACTTAAGAACAAAAGAACAAAGAAAATTACAGCACAGGAACAGGCCCTTCGGCCCTCCAAGCCTGCGCCGATCCAGATCCTCTATCTAAACCTGTTGCCTATTTTCCAAGGATCTGTATCTCTCTGCTCCCTGCCCATTCATGTATCTATCTAGATACATCTTAAATGACGCTATCGTGCCCGCCTCGACCACCTCCGCTGGCAACGTGTTCCAGGCACCCACCACCCTCTGCATAAAGAACTTTCCACACATATCTCCCTTAAACTTTTGCCCTCTCACCTTGAAATTGTGACCCCTAGTAATTAAGTCCCCCACTCTGGGAAAAAGCTTCTTGCTATCTACCCTGTCTATACCTTTCATGATTTTGTAGTCCTCAATCAGGTTCCCCCTCAACCTCCGTCTTTCTAATGTAAATAATCCTAATCTACTCAACCTCTCTTCATAGCTAGTGCCCTCCATACCAGGCAACATCCTGGTGAACCTCCTCTGCACCCTCTCCAAAGCATCCACATTCTTTTGGTAATGTGTCGACCAGAACTGTACGCAGTATTCCAAATGTGGTCGAACCAAAGTCCTATACAACTGTAACATACCTGCCAACTCTTGTACTCAATACCCCGTCTGATGAATGAAAGCATGCCGTATGCCTTCTTGACCACTCTGTCAACCTGCGTTGCCACCTTTAGGGTACAATGGACCTGAACACCCAGATCTCTCTCTGCATCAATTTTCCCCAGGGCTTTTCCATTTACCATATAGTTCGCTGTTGAATTGGATCTTCCAAAATGCATCACCTCACATTTGCCTGGATTGAACTCCATCTGCCATTTCTCCACCCAACTCTCCAATCTATCTATATTCTGCTGCATTCTCCGACAGTCCCCTTCGCTACCTGCTACTCCACCAATCTTAGTGTCATATACAAACTTGCTGATCAGACCATCTATACCTTCCTCCAGATCATTTATGTATATCACAAACAACAGTGGTCCCAACACAGATCCCTGTGGAACACCACTGGTCACAGTTCTCCATTTTGAGAAACTCCCTTCCACTACAACTCTCTGTCTCCTGTTGCCCAGCCAGTTCTCTATCCATCTAGCTAGTACACCCTGGACCCCATGCAACTTCACTTTCTCCCATCAGCCTACCATGGGGAACCTTATCAAACGCCTTACTGAAGTCCATGTATATGACATCCACAGCCCTTCCCTCATCTATCAACTTTGTCACTTCCTAAAAGAATTCTATCAAGTTGGTAAGACATGACCTTCCCTGCACAAAACCATGCTGCCTATCACTAATAAGCCCATTTTCTTCCAAATGTAAATAGATCCTATCCCTCAGTATCTTCTCCAGCAGCTTCCCCACCACTGACATCAGGCTCACCGGTCTATAATTACCTGGATTATCCTTGCTACCCTTCTTAAACAAGGGGACAACATTAGCAATTCTCCAGTCCTCTGGGACCTCACCCGTGCTCAATGATGTTGCAAAGTTATATGTTAAGGCCCCAGCTATTTCCTCTCTCGCTTCCCTCAGTAATCTGGGATAAATCCCATCCAGACCTCGGGATCTGTCCACCCTAATGCCTTTTAGAATACCCAACACTTCCCCCCTCCTTATGCCGACTTGACCTAGAGTAATCAAACATCTATCCCTAACCTCAACATCCGTCATGTCCCTCTCCTCGGTGAATACCAACACAAAGTACTCATTAAAGATAATAGGGTAGTAACCAAACGTTTGTCAAAGCCAAAATCAATGCATCCAAAAGCAATAAATATTTCAATTTATTTGAAATACTGGCCACAAGATGTTTTACAATCAGCTAAGGGGGTACAGTTTGACTTTTAGTAAAAGGCCTCACTGAAATGATAGCACCTCTGACAGTGCAGTACTCCATCAGCACTGCACAGTGTGTGAAGCTGGATATCACACTGCAAGTGTCCGATGTGGGAATTAAACCCCACATTCCAGAGGTACTTTTGCCAATAGAGACACCACTAACACTACAAACACTTCATGCTCCAAGAATTGAGACTAGGAGGGAAAAGTCTCCCTGATTTAGCTGTCATTAATGGCCCAGACAGTCATTAACTTACTAGAAAAGTGTGACCTGGAAATTCTGTGTTTGAACCACTTGGGGCCAACTCAATAACCCAGATTTAATCACATTTCCACCATGCGATTTCAAAATTGTGTTTGTAAATTCATAGTAAGACGAGAAATAAAGGTCATTCAGCCCATCAGACCTGTGTCAGCTCTAAGCATCCAAATTGTCCTTTTTCTCATGACCTGTAACTTTTGTCCCCTCCTGGGGACAAAATCAGAAGTCACATGACACCAGTTTATAGTCCAACAGGTTTATTTAAAATCACAAGCTTTCGGAGCGCTGCTCTTCTGTCAGGTGAAGTGAAGGGAAGTACTCAGGCATAGAATATATTGCCATTATCTCTCCACCTAAAAATTCTGTGCCTGTGCGCCTCCCTCCACTTCATCTGATGAAGGCACTACACTCCAAAAGCTTGTGATTTTAAATAAACTTGTTGGACCATAACTTGGTGTTGTGTAAATTCTGACTCTGTCCACCCCAGTCTAACCCCAGCACCTGCACATCACTGATCCAATTCCATTTTGATAGCCATTAATTTAACCTGTCCTTCCACCCTTTCAGGTGAGTTGTACACATAGAAATGACACAGCCATCAAATATTTCATCTTTGAATGTTGGATTTTCCTCTTTTAAAATTGTATCCTTGATGTATATGCTATGCCCTTTGCTGAAATCTGGAATTCACTCCAAACCCACCTGTGCTTCAGAATTCGAATTCAGTACGTGCAGTGAGACACTGAGCCTTTAACAAAGAATTACTGATTCTGGATATCGGAAACAAACAAACACAGAAAGTGCTGAAGAAACTCAGTGGGTCTGGCGGCATCTGTGGGCAGAGAAACAGAGTCCAGTGACCCTCAGAACTAGACTTGAAGCATTGACTCTTTCTCTGTTCACAAGACCTGCTGGGTTTTTCCAGTGCTGTCTGTTTTTGTTTGAGACACTAAGTGTGTTATTTTACAAAGCATTAATCTCACTTCCTCCCTCTCCAAACTGTGTGATCTGAGGAGATTGTCTTTACAATGTAATTTTCAGCTCACACACTTTCCCTCATTCTAACAGGTTCACCTTACACTTGGAATGAACTGAAATCACTAACTGCGGAAATCCAACTTGCTGAATTGTAATGGATCTAATTTTATAAATAGTCCTCTGGGGACGGGGCTCTTTTAACTTAATTCTCCTTAAAAGAAACAAATTCTTTTCCAATTCAGAGAGTTTTAAGTCAGTGTCACTTCCCAAAAAGCCAAAAGGTGCTAAGCCTCCTGTAGTGTGATAGGTTTCACAGGAAATCTGACATGTCAACTACATGTGACCTCTTCCCACACTCACCCCACCCATCCAGCTCCATCTACACAGCCTCCCCCTCTCCTTACTGCTCCACAAAGCACTCACCCATACTCCCCCTGCTTGTGGCCAATTCAGTAAATTTCACTTAAAATTCACAAGCAGGAACAAATTTTATTTAACCAGCTCAATACTTGCTCTGAGGCTGCTAGGTGTGGAAATGGCTGTGGTCATTTGTTGTACAGGTCAGTGAAGTGACCCCAGAGCAAATCGGTGCACACTCAAAAACTCTCTCATAAGACAGCGGGGTGGACAGTCTGAATGGGCAGAATATTATGACATTCATCGATATTCATATTTGTCAGTTCAATGCATCCCTTGAGCCCCAGCCCCAGCACACGGGCACCCGGGCACACGGGCACCCAGACAGGCAGATGTGGTCACCTGGGTTAGTGAGTCTGGGAACTGTGAATGGTTCTTTCATCTTGAAAGGTTTGAGGGTTCAATCCCACTCCAAAAGACTTGAAACAGAGAAATCAGGCTGACATCCTACATTCCAGAACCTAACCTTACTGACTGATTCACAATCTCATACAATCCTCAAGAAATTCACTTTTCAAAGTCTCACATGAGCTGGAAAATCCTAAATGTCTCTGACATCCTCCTCTAAATGAAAGCTTGGAACCTCCTCACAGTGACCCTGATGTTGACCCCCGACTCTGCTCAACTTCACAGTGACCCTGACCCTGCTTCAATCTTTCCAAATTTATCAGTGACCACAACCGGAAACAAAAGGCAAGGGACGATCCCATTCAGTTGTTCTACAGTTTGTTTTGTTTCTCAATATCTTTACTGATTGCATTTAAGGTTAAAAACTCACTGCTGACTAGTGTTCTGTACTGGAACAAAAGATGATCAAATACATCAACAGAATGTTGGTGGTGTAGTGGACAGCATAGAGGGCTGTTGTAGGTTGCAACGGGACATTGATAGGATGCAGAGCTGAACAAGGAAGTGGCAGATGGAATTCAACCCAGAAAAGTGTGTAGTGATTCATTTTGGAAGGTCGAATTTGAATGCAGAATACAGCGTTAATGGCAGGATTCTTGACAGTGTGGAGGAACAGAGGGATCTTGGGGTCCATGTCTATAGATCCCTCAAAGTTGCTACCCAAGTTGATAGGGTTGTAAAGAAGGCGTATGGTGTGTTGGCTTTCATTGGCAGGGAATTGAGTTTAAGAGCTGTGAGGTTATGTTGCAGCTCTATAAAACTTTGGTTAGACCATGCTTGGAATATTGTGTTCAGTTCTGGTCACCTCATTATAGGAAAGATGTGGAAGCTTTAGAGAGGGTGCAGAGGAGATTTACCAGGATGCTGCCTGGACTGGAGGGCAGGTCTTATGAGGAAAGGTTGAGGGAGCTAGGGCTCTTTTCATTGGAGCAAAGAAGGATGAGAGGTGACTTGATAGAGGTGTACAAGATGATGAGAGGCATAGATAGAGTGGACAGTCAGAGACTTTTTGCCAGGGCGGAACTGACTATTATGAGGGGGCATAATTTGAAGGTGATTGGAGGAAGGTATAGGGGAGATGTCAGAGGTAGGTTCTTCACACAGAGAGTGGTGGGTGTGTGGAATGCGCTGCCAGCAGTGGTAGTGGAGTCAGATACTACAGACAAGTATCCAAGCGACTCTTGGATAGGCACATGGAGGATAGTAAAATGTAGGGTATGCAAGGTAGATTGATCTTAGTAGGATAATAGGTCAGCACAACATCGTGGGCCAAAAGGCCTGTACTGTGCTGTACTGTTCCATGTTCCATGTTCCAAGTTCTATGAATGCTGACCTTGATGTCCAGAGGATGAGAAGACAAGACAGTAGAAATCATGCTTCAGTGACACACAACGCTGGTCAATAACAGTTGCTATGAGCAGCTCGGAGGATTATTAGCCTTAGGGAGAGTGCAGTTGACTTACTTAAATTTAGAGGGTTAAGTTATTAAATACTGCACAAACTAGGCTTGTATTTCCTGGAATTTAGGAGATGAGAGTTATTTTATACTTTTCTTATAAAGAGATAACACATAAAACTGATCAGATCCATTTCTGCCAGTCTGGTGTGATGGAGTGGAATCTAAAGTGAAATTAACAACTACTTAAAGGAGGTGGGAGATGTCTGAAACGCTTTTGCAAACAGCAATTGACATGAGATCAATCATTAATTTTAAAACAAAGCTGGAGAAATGTTTGCTGTTCAGATGTTTTAAGGGATCTGGGGCAAGAGCGGCTCAGCAGCAGTATTACTGATCGAGCTGGTCAGGTCCTAAAGGACAGAGCTGCTAGACTGGGTCTGCGGCAGGTGGTGAGGGAACCAACAAGAGGGAAAAACATACCTGACCTCATCCTTACCAATCTGCCAGCTGCAGATCCATCTGTCCATGACAGTATCATTAAGAGTGATCACCGCACAGTCCTTGTGGAGACAAAGTCCCGCCTTCACATTGAGAATAACCTCCATCGTGTTGTCTGGCACTGTCACCGTGCTAAATGGGACAGACTTTGCACAGATCTAGCAACTCAAGACTGGGCATCCATGAGGCACTGTGGGCCATTAACAGCTGCAGAGTTGTACTCCAGCACAATCTGTAACCTCATGGCCCGGCATATCCCCCACTCAACCATTACCATCAAGCCAGGGGATCAATCCTGGTTCAATGGAGAGTGCAGGAAGGCATGCCAGGAGTAGCACCAGGCATACCTGAAGATGAGGTATCAACTTGGTGAAGCCATCAAACAGGACTACTTGCACCCCAAACAGCGAAAGGAGCAAACGATAGAGAGAGGTAAGCGATCCCACAACCAACGGATCAGATCTGAGCTCTGCAGTCCTGCCACATCCAGTGGTGAATGGTGGTGGACAATTAAACAACTCACTGGAGGAGGAGGCTCCACAAATATCCCCATCCTCAATGATGGAAGGGCCCAGCACATCAGGGCAAAAGATAAGGCTGAAGCATTTGCAGCAATCTTCAGCCAGAAGTGCTGAGTGGATGATCCATCTCAGCCTCCTCCAGTGGTCACCAGCATTTCAGATACCAGTCTTCAGCCAATTCGATTCACTCCACGTGATATCAAGAAATGGTTGGAGACACTGGATAGAAGCGTTCATGACTCCTCAGATACCGAAGCAGTTCTTGACCAAATGCAATAAGATCTGGACAATATCCAGGCTTGGGCTGACAAGTGGCAAGCAACGTTTTTTGCCAGATGAATGCCAGGCTATGACCATCACCAATAAGAGACAATCTAACCAGCTCCCTTGACATTCAATGGTGTTACCATCACTGAATCCCTCACTGTCAACATCCCGAGGGTTATCACTGACCAGAAACTCAACTGGACTCACCACATAAACACAGTGGCTACAAGAGCAGGCCAGAAGCTGGGAATCCTGCAGCAAGTAACTCACCTCCTGACTCCCCAAAGCCTGTCCACCATCTACAAGGCACAAGTCAGGAGTGTGATGGAATACTCCCCACTTGCCTGGATGGGTGCAGCCCCAACAACACTCAAGAAGCTTGACACCATCCAGAACAAAGCAGCCGCTTGATTGGCACCACATCCACAAACATCCCACTCCGTCCACCACCGACGCTCAGTAGCAGCAGTGTGTACTATCTACAAGATGCACTGCAGAAATTCACCAAAGATCCTCAGACAGCACCTTCCAAACCCACTTCCATCTAGAAGGACAAGGGCAAGAAATACATGGGAACACCACCCCCTGCAAGTTCCCCTCCAAGTCACTGGCCACCCTGAATTGGAAATATATCGCCGTTCCTTCAGTGTCGCTGGGTCAAGATCCTGGAATTTCCTCCCTAAGGACTTTATGGGTCTAAACACAGCAGGAGGACTGCAGCAGCTTGAGAAGGCAGCTCACCACCACCTTCTCAAGGGGGCAACTAGGGACGGGCAATAAATGCTGGGCCCAGCCAGTGATGCCCATATAGAACAAAACCAGAGAATCCGTACAGTGTGGAAGCAGACCAATCAGCCCATCGAGTCCACACCAACTCAGCAAACAGCATCCCACCCAGGCCCACCCCATCCCTGTAACTCTACATTTCCCATGGCCAATCCACCTAACCTGCACATCTTTGGACTGTGGGAGGGAACAGGAGCAAACCCACACAGACACGGGGAGAATGTGCAAACTACACACAGTCACCCGAGGGTGGAATCAAAGCCAGGCCCCTTGCGCTGCGAGGTAGCAGTGCTAACCACTGAGCTACCGTGCTGCCCCGAAAATGAATACAATAACAGGTGATGTTATGGAGTTAAATCAGAGATTAAACATAGTGTTATTGGATGACAGAACAGGCTCAAGGGGCTGAATGGCCTCTTCCTGTTGCTTACTACAGGGGCCAAGCCAGTGTGGAAGAGATTCCACACTTTGCTAAAATTTCAACAGGCCATTTGGCCCAACGTAATATTCATTAATTTATCCTCCTGTTCCCTTCTCTCTCCTGCATTTAACTTCCTCCGAAACGTTTCAAACAAAAAAACAGAAATTGTTGACAAAACTCACCGTTCTGAGAAATGGTCACGACCTGAAACATTAACTCGGTTTCTCTCTCCACAGATCCTGTCAGACCTGAGACTTTCCAGCAATTTCTGATTTTGTTTCTGATTTCCAGCATCCACAGGTTTTTTTAGGTTTTTCATTAATTTAAAATAGTCTTAACTGCAGAAATAGTTAAAGGCACTAACGACCATAACTAATAGATATTTCAATTATTTTACTGCCTTTCTAACCTGAGCCTGGGACGTGTGTTAGTTAATCTCAGACTGGAGGTGGGGGTGCAGGTTCTGCTGGTTTAGTGAATTCAGTAATTCCGGAGAAAGGCACAATATATTCCAGGAACAGTCCTGGAATGCCAGCTCCTGAACTGACCCCAATACAGAGTGACCCTGTTTAAAATTCATCCTTAAATTCAGTAATTGGGGGCAGGAGAGAGAGACTGTTTTTAAAAACCTAAACCTATCCTGCCCGCAATGTTTGAGGAAATCCCAGTTAGTCCTGGGTTAACATCTGGCCCGCTCCAAAGTTTGCAAAACTTTCTCAAACTCTTCAGCTGAAGCGAAAACTCTTCCTGCGTTTTCCGGGAACTCTGCTAACTCTCCGGGAGAAATGCGGGCTGTGTTTCTCTATTGGGCAGCAATAAGATTGTAACCCCTCCCTTTCTCTCCTCCGCCCGACAGTGGGGACGGTCGGAATTCCCATCCCAGGTTTCCTCATCTGAATCTCCTCACTCCATGTAACATTCCCCAGGGACATATCTCTAACAAATACCTGGCCTTTATAGCACTCACTTCAGACACTGTCTGGGAGAAGGTATTTTTCCTGAATTTCCGCTGGGATTTATTGCTGGCCATCATATTGTCGGTCCCTTGTTATACTTAGTCACTATATCAAACAACTTCTGGAAGTCCGTGTACACCACCTGCTCAGCATCACCCTCACTGACCCTCTCTCACTCCTTCAAGAAACAGCTCCAGCAAGTTTGTCATGATTTTGCCTGAATAATTCCATGCTGATTCTTCTGAATCAATCCACATTTTCCTATATGATTATAGTTTTTTCCCTCATTAATTGTTTCTAAAAGCTTCCTTATCTCTGAAGTTAATCTGATTGGCCTGAAATTGCCGGCCTAATCTTTATAAATGTTTTTGAACAAGACTGTAATGTTTACAATTCTCCAATCTCTGAATCCAGGGATAATTCAAAGATTATTGCCAGTGCCTCAGCAATTTCTAGTCTCACTTCCTTCAGTCCCCTTGGATGTATCTGATCCTGTCTGAGGACCTTACCAGCTATAAAACCATAAGAAATAGCAGGAGTAGGCCATTTGGCCCCTTGAGTCTATTCCACCATTCAATAGGATTCTGGCTGATCTAACATTCATAATGTTCCCGTATTTTCCCTATCTCACTTGATTCCCCTGCTGATCAAGAATATATCATTCTCAGCTTTAATTATCCACAAGGACTCCGCCCCCACAGCCCTCAGTGACAAGGTGTTCCAAAGACTCACAACCCTCTTGAGAGAAGAAATTCTTCCTCATCTCAGTCTTAAATTAGCACCCCTTTACTCTCCCATTAGGAGAAACATCCTCTCAGTATTTACCCTATTAAGCCCTTTAAGAACCCTGCATGTCTCAATCAGTACCCACAGCTTATTTTTTGTTAATTTCACCTACTTTTCCTAAATAATCTGTTCAGCAATGTTGTGACACACTTCTGAAGCAGGTGGGACTTGAACCCAGGCCTCTCTGATCCAGAGGTAGGGACACTACCACTGCACCACAAGAGGGCATAATTAACATGGATTCATATCATGGTCATCATTAGACTCTTAATTCCAGATTTTTATTGAATTGAAATTATACCACCTGCCATGGCAGGATTCAAACCCAGGTCCCCAGAACGTTACCCAGTTCTCATCCCCTTACACATAGTGCAGCATCTGAAAGAGAACTTCAGATCAAAGATGACAAGCAGTGGGATCTGAACCAACTCCTCTACAGAGACTAGAACTTGCGTTCACAGCCTATAACCCACAGTTAATCCAATATCTCCTCCTAATCAATTTTAAACCATTCTAGTAACTGAGTTTCCTCCTTTGTATCTGCCTCCTATTTAACGACAGATGCAAAGTATTCATTTCACATGGCCACACCTCTTACTTCTAAGAGTTATCCCTGTTTTGGTCTCTAACCTGCCCTGCTCCTCTTCTTAACCAGCCTTTTATTACTGATGTGTTTATAGCAGACTTTGGGACTTCCTTCTGGTTGAGGTGCCAGTCCTTTTTTGATGATCCCTATGATGTAATCTTTAGTGATTGGTGTATTTAAACTCTGAGAACCATTATTTTGCTGTCCCAGTTGGATTGGCAGTTTCCAGGATGGGATCTATAACTTATATAATTTAGAAATTTTATTATTTATAATTCAATGTAATTTAAATCATTTAGTTTTGAACTTAAATTTTTGAATTTAACCTGTGGAATACTGAATTTTCTTTGTGTTTGAAGAGATTTAATAATTAACTTATAAGTATTCCTGTAGCTATGGTGATTTATTTTAAAACACAGTATTAAAGAGAGACTTCCTGGACAGTAATGAGGTTTTATTTACATTGGAAGCAGTGGATTCCAGTTTGGAAGGTTACAGATTTGTGTTTTCTTTTGATTAGGGAAAACACCTATTGCTTAGGAAAAAAAAGACATTTGCTTTAGTTTCATTTTGGACAGTTCTGGAGGATTCCTACTTAAGGCTGGGCATGTGAAACAATTTAGATTTGTTAAAGATTGATTATATCAGTCTAAGTTTATTAAAAGTTCCAGACCAGAAGTGTTTACATAAAATCCAGAAGGGACTATTTGAAGCTGAGAAAATCTAAACTCAGTTGCATGAAGGCTCCAGGAAGAGGCCTAGAGATTCGTATGACTGGGAGTTGAATCCACTGTTAAATTAGGCCCTAAAGGGGCAATAAAGAAGGTAATTGTCTCTGGTGTGAGCTCTGAAAAGCGTTTTTTTTTGGGATTTCTGGGATATTTTAACTGTGTAATAGAAAAGCTTTAAATGTCATGTGAATAGTTTAGTTTATTCAATTTTATCTTCATTCGTAATGAAGATAAAGTGTAATAAACTTCTGTGTTGTTGTTTAAACCAAACCTGCAGCATTTTATGTTTATATCTAAGTGAGACCACCATGTTAAAACCAAGCCAAAACAAAATGTGATCCATCAAAACAGATTTCAGTCTAGGATCTGACTAGTGCAGTAGTAAACAGCAGCTGGGATCACAACAGGCTCTTGGAGGGGATTTTGAATTCATTGACTTAAGAAGGGTCTGTGTTTCTTTTTAAAGTATCAGGTACACAAAAACCATGGCAATAATATCTTTCCTGAGATAACAGGAACAAAACTGTACCAGAAACCAAGCTCCTACACACTGAAGCTACACTTCACTGTTCCTGTTCTCTCATCCACTTGTAATAAAAGCTAACGTTCCATTAGCCTTCCTAATAGCTTACAGCATCCAAGTCCCTTTGTACATGTACACTTTCCAAACTCTTTCCATTTAAGAAATACTCTGTACATATGTTCTTCCTATCAATGTGCCTAATCTCAAACCTGCACTTCTCTGTTTTGTTTTCCTTTGCTCTTTTCTTAAAACATGGGGTGATATTTGAAAGTTACTAATCTTCAGGAAACATTTGAAAATCTATAGAATCTTGGAAGCCAATTGCTAATGCAGTGACTATCTCTGCAGCCACCCCTTTTAACTCTCTAAGGTGTAGACCATCAGGTCCTGGGAATAATCAATTTTTAGCACCATTAATGTCTCCAGTACCACCTTCTTACTAATAATAATTTCCTTCAACCCTTCATTCCCCCAGCTACTTGGATCCTTAGTTCTAAAAGATTTCTGGTATTGTCCTAGGTGTAAGCAGACACGCTGTAATCATTTAGCTTTCCTGTCATCTCCATTCCCCCATTAAAAATTCTCCCAATGCTGCTTTTAACAGACACAGTCATTGCAGCCAAATGTTTCCTTTTTTTACATTTTAGCAGAAGCTTTTACAGTCCATTTTTATGTCATTCACTAGATTGCATTTGCATACTACTTTTCTTTTCCTTATCAGTTTTTTTGGTCCCCCTTTGTTGTATTCTTCAAACCTTTCAAGTCCTCAGATCAATTACTATTTCTGGGCATTCTTCAAACCCAGCCCTGAGGAAGGGCCACTGGACCTGAAACATTAACTCTGATTTCTCTCCACAGATGCTGTCAGACCTGCTGAGCTTTTCCAGCAACTTCTGTTTTTGTTTCTGATTTCCAAAACCTGCAGTTCTTTCAGTTTTTACTCTTTAAGTCCTTTCTTTTAATATTATATGATCCTTAAGTCCTTTACCAACCACAGTTGACTGACCATTTTGCACCTTGAAGAAATGTGTAGCTGTAGTAAACCATGTGGTAGTCCCTCCCTGATAGTTTCTCCTTTCTGCTCACAAGAAGGGAATTTACAGAGAGAGTAGCCAACTGCTCAGCATTTCCTTCTAGAGGAAGAGTGAGTGATGGGTTCTCTTTCTCAGGTTGGATGTTTCTGCCATTGTTAAACTCTAAGCTGTAGCCACTCATCCAGGAACCAATGAGAAAGCTGTTACTATGCTGAATGCCCCTGAACTGACACCATTGGTCCTAGTTGAAAAAAATAATCAAAAGTCTGTCACTGGGCAAAACTGCCTTGAACACACACCCACCCACAGAACGGAGGCATTTGGCCTCCTCCCCTACAGCTTGAATAAATCCACATTACATACACATGGAATACGTTCCAGTGACTTTACTGCAACATCAGCTTCTGCAGTCCTTTGTTTAAAGCAGTAATATTTTTTTCCCATTTTTAGATTTTAGTCCAAAAAAATAAAACTTGTCTTCCCACAATGTCCTTTAGGACTGGGCCAACTCAGTCAGTCTTGCTGCTGCTAAGCAACAGTTGGGAACAGCCATTGAAATCCCCCACCTTCAGTGCTTCCTACTGACAGCATTCAACATGGAGGAACCCAGAGTCATCAGCCGAGGGTAGGGGGGGGCGGGGGGTAGGTGTAATTGATAGAGAACAGGAGGTTACTTTGCCCATGTTTGACCTGATGTCGAGTCAATGTTGAGGACTCCCAGGGATGGTGATGGTGGTGTCTGGGACATTGTTCGTCAGGTATGATTCTGTGAGTATGACTCTCGCAGGCTGGTGCGTGGCTAGTTTGTGAGACGTGGACAGTTAAAATGTGGAGCTGGAGGAACACAGCAGGTCAGACTGCATCAGGGGTGCAGGAAAATTGGCGTTTCAGGTCTGGACCCTTCATCAAGACTAGGGAGGGGCAACGGAGTTCAGATATATGGGGGGGGGGGGGGGAAGAAGG